CCGCCACCGCCACCGCCACCGCCACCGCCACCGCCACCTCCACCACCACCACCACCACCACCACCACCACCACCACCGCCGTTATTCTTTGTATTTCTATATTACTCCTATATCAGTTTGAATACTTGTGGGGAGGCTTCCCTTAGAACAGCCTGCAACATGATTTCCTGACTACTTGACCCAGAAAACCCACAACCCAGATTTCTATTGTCTAGCAAGCCATGATGAGTATCTCAGGACTGTTGTTGTGACCGCTCTTGTCAACTTTGTTGCAACTGCAACGTTTGGTACGGAGGCAACCATTCGTCTATTTGGGGCTCCTGGTATGATGCGGCTACTGGAAGGCCAGCGGACTCAGTATACGAGGGCCCCTGGGTTACTTGGGCTGTGTTTTCAGGAGTCCGAGGATTCTTGGTTTGGATCTCAGGCATTTGCCTTTCTTCAGGGTTTTGGAGCCTTCTCTACACTTCAGGTTTTTGGGGTGAAGGGAGCTCAGCAGAGCTTTTCTTGGCAACTTGCAACTTCGAGGGGTGCAGTGCATATGGATACCGGATACCGAATTAGGGAGAAAGAATCCGCTGCGATAGCATCTTACGCGTTTCATCATTATGAGACGAAGCCTTACTGCATTTCACAATGCTCAGGGAGGTTTGCAGGACTTTCCCTGAGAAGCCTTGATGTCGGACTGTGGCTGGCGTGCGGGTGTCCGTGCCAACCCTTGAAGAACACAAAACCTTCTGAATCGGAATGGGGCAATGCAAATTTCCTTGGTCTCGTGGCTTCCACCTCACGAAGCCTCATAAAAGGAAACCAGTCCTGCTTGTAAGATAGTAGTGCCCTTAGTTGAACTGATGTGGACAGGGAAAAGTCCGCAGCCGTACCACATGGTCGTGGATCCTCTAGATGATATGGTGATGTACGGTGATATACCATGTGCCTAAGACTGAGCCCTGGCATCCGAGGCATCTTTGCACTTGAGAGTGGATGCTCAAAGCCTCAACCCTCAAGCCCACAGCCAGCGATGGATGTGGTTATGAACAATTATCTGAAAGCAGTTGCGAAAGAAGTTAGACTTCATAGCACTCTGAGCCCTCTGGAGCTGGAGGTGGGGCTTTGCCTGCTGCCATCAGACTATGAAGAACTCATACTGTGTGCCCATCAAGAAGGGCGATGCCGAGGCCAGGTGGTACATGATCATTGCTGCTTGCGACTTTTGCTGTGATAGGGTTACGTGATGCGAGAGGAGCATCATGAGGACGTATTCCTCAAACAGGATTACAAAAGAAGGAAAGGTCCTAAACCAGGGTGCATGTCCACTTCCACCTCCTAGCTCCCCATGGAACTACTGCTTCTTTCATGGATGATGCTGGGTGAGGATTTCTGAAGGGATCCCCTGCTTGGCTTTGAACTTCTCGAAGGCTCCAGGGTTGAGGGTGGAATTAGCCAAAATTCTCAGGATGTACAGCTCGCATGCAATGCTAAAAACCCCCGACCCCAACCTCTAAACCCTGGCTATTGGGAAGTTCCAGGCTATCGAAAACGAAGCCCCTGACGCCGAAGAGGGCGTTCCAGCCCTTGAAGGCTGGCATCAAGGTTTTGTAGCACTTGCAGGGGGAGTTAGTGATACGCATAGCCCAGTTGATGCCAGACAACGAGCCAGCATTGTAGTGCATCACCTGCAAGGCGGATGTGCTGTGCACTGCTGCAGTTGTTGCTGCCACTACTGATTGCTTGTCACAGTGGCCATTCCTTGTCTCCTCGTCTTTTTTCAGCCTGGGGGTGGCTTCCATTTGAGCATTATGAGTCAATGAGGGTCAAACAGATGCCATAAGGATGGACACCGGGTTGCAATGAGTTAGTCGAAGGCTTGCTCATCCCTTGCCCTTCAAATTTCCCTAAATAAGGGGACCCAATATAGATATTATACTCCTTATCATGGGGATCCAGAAGCACGGACCCCTAGTTGTATCTCACTTTGAAAAGCTTACCCTTTGAGGCCAGGGTATCCTGGTGCTTAGAGTCAGGCATGGATCTGGAAAACAGCAATTGCTGCACTGTTAATCGTTTTTTCTACAAGCAGCTCTGGGATTTGGCTTCTGCATTTCGACCTTCTCCGCCCATAGAGATGTAATCCTGGCGAGTACCCCATAAATTGTAGCACTGAGTTCAGTTGCATAAGATTATGGCTTGGTACTGGAAGATGCTTCACAGCAGATTCGTGGTCCCAGAGTAAAAAAATCCATCCCAAAGAAGCTTGAGAAACGTTTCTTGGCAGCATCGAGCCCCCTGAAAACTTACCTTCGGCTAGTCATAGCGTGTCCTCAAAACCGTTGCGCTGCCTGATGCAAACAAGAGTGCGTGCACAAGAGGGTCCTAGATTAACTTCACACATAGAGACCCAAGCCCTATCGCCAGTCTGGCCGCGCAGGCGGTGTTGATTTGGGAGGCGGCGTTGGTGACCTTGATGACATTGCTGGAGACTGCGTTCTCAACTTTTACAGATTTCATAGCCTCAAGTCCCTGCACGTCGTGCTTGTGAACGAGACCTGCCTTCGAATGTTTAATGCTGCAGTTGTGTGTTTACTCCAGACGGCAACACAAGATGGCCAGCGCATCTGGTACGAAAAGGTACCAGGCTTCCTATCAATCCCTCGCGAAATGCTGATGAGGCAGTCATTCACCGTCTGTATCTACGAAACCAAACCCCAACCGCAAAACCCAAGCCCAAGTCCACCCCAAGCCACAATGCTGTGACAAGAAGGAGATTCTCCGGCGGCAGGGAGCCGGGAGGCAGCGTCCAAGCTCAACGAGAAGAGGCCCGGTTTACTTTAGAGCACGCTGGATTGTGATGACGGTGGGAGGTCGGGTATGGGGTTCAGAGGGTTGGGAGTGAAGGAGTCATCGGCTTTAGGGTTGAAAAAGCTGAGCGGCTGAGGGCTCAGGATTGACTGGACATTCCGGTTGACAGGTTGTGTTTTTGCGGCGGTTTTGTGTTGGGATGGGCAGAGCATGGTAGGGTGATGATCAACAACTTGCATACTTAGTTATGGGATTCTGGTGTCGGATGGTTGCAGAAAGGACTACGCTCCAGCCTCCCAAGATGTAGGCTAACAACCTGTGCGGCCATCTCCTTTTCGTGGCAACACCATAGCTGGGCCAGCATTGAGGACACTGCAATCAGCTACCAACACCGCGCCAGCACTTGCAGTCAGACAAACGACGGGAATTTGTTTGCAGAATCCGACAACCACGACAGTTGCAAGGATGGCGACCCTGACCCACTCCCACAAGTGTTCAAGAAAAGGAAGGGAAGTCAGGGAAAACAGTGCAATGCTGTTGTAGAATGAAGGTAGTAGGAGAAGGGAGCAACATGCCTCACAACTCAAAACAAAACGCTCCTACATGATTCCTGCGTCCAAGCATTGATCTGGAAGCTGGCACGTCATTTGAGGCATCACGATTTCTGGTTTTGCACCTGAACGCTGCACTCAAGCAACCTCGGCTGCGCCGAAACCGTCAAAACTGGGAGACTCATGGTTAGCTGGAAGCGGGCTATAAACAGGTTCAACGAGTTACAACTCAAGATCGCGACCTCAAATCCCATTCATAACTCATACCTGCCCATGAACCCCCGAGTTGCTTCAGGTAACGGGGAGACACGCCCAAGCAAACTTGTCTAGATCTAGGTTCAGGCCATCGCTATCCTTCGCACAACTCTAGAGGTATTCGTATCTTCGCCGTTGGAAAGTGTGGCATCTGCCTCTTCCAAGTGAGTCTTTCAGTTTCAGTTGCATTTCCAAGCATTTTTCATTGATCGCTGAAGAGGGACCGACCAAATCCAACCCCCACAGTCCCCTCACATCCTTATGTAAGGGTATCTGGAGGCCTAGGTGTTGAGAACCCTGTTCTGCCACGCCTGCAGGTCCTCTGCCTTTGGGCATGTCTTGGAGGACCGGCTTTGGGGGGCTTCGGGTCCGCTGCTGCCGGCTGCCACTAGGGGTTAGGGCTTAGGGGGTTAGGGTCTAGGGTGTAGGGCTTAGGGTTAGGTTGATGTTACAAGACCCTTTATGGGTTGAAGTGTTCCTTTGGAAGCGTGGGAATTTGGTACCAGAATGTCATGCAGGGCTTTCTGTGTCAACCGTACGTCCTTTGTTGCCTTCACTCTTTTCCTACACTGACTACAAAATTCAGAATAAGGCCTTTCCTTTCACTAGTGTTGCTGTCATCAATCGTTTAACTAACTGGTGGTTAGTAGGAAAGCAGGGAATGTAATCGATACATAGTCCCCATGTAACAGACTCCCTCATTCCTTACTAATCCCCAGTAAGTTAGAATGTGAGGAGGTATTACATTGAGGTCTGGGGTTTGGAGCTTTGGAAGCTCTTCAGGTGAAAGCTAGGTAGGAAAAACACCTTTGTTGTATTTTCCCAACATAAGCAGACTCCACTTTAGAACCCAACATACTATACTCCTCCTTACTTTTGGGGATCCCGAAAGTGGCGCCCTTAATTTGGCAAACCCTCAAGTTGTAACCAAGTGACAGCTTATAGTCTCCATTCTTGTTACCATCATATCATACAAATTCCACCATGCAGCAGTTCCTTGAAGTTACGATCATCACCAGGTTTTCATAAGATACCTACCCCAAACCCTAAACCCTAAACTCTAAACCCTAAACCCTCACCCAGGGTGGAGGTCAGTTTTATTGTTTTTGTCCGCGTGAGTCGATGAGGGGAGCCCAAGAATCTGTCGCCTAATTTGATTGCATCAGATGCAGGACACAGGTTTTTCGAGAGTTTCCAAAAATTGGAGGTACATGCCCATGTATATGTATATGTATATGCATATATATATATATACACATGTTTTGGCATATGCAAAATCGTTTCCTTGCGGATTCTTCTTATTCACAGCAAGAGCAACCGGAGGGCTGCTGCCTGTAGAAATTTCCATGCTTCGCAGCAACTCAATCTGCCAGAGGCAAATTGAAATTAGGGAGCGGCTTGAATACTTATTGGGGTAATATTGGCTTGGCTGTCTTCTGCCTGGCTGTTAGGACTTTAACTTTCTTGGTTTCCCTACTTTCTATATTAAAGAGGCTTGACTTTTAGGGGGGGTCCTAAGACAGCTAAGTTGTGCATAATGGAGAATAAAATGGAAACTACAGGGGTTATAGGGATTATACAGGGTTTACATATTCTGCCTTGCTAAATTCCTTTTGTGAGCGCGAATCTTAGCATCGGAAATCTGGGTAGCGCTGCGAAGCTGTGTTGTACAGTCTGCTGCTAGAGCAGCCAGGACTCCTGGAAGGATCTAAAAATTAGATCCCCTATATAGACCCATAATAACCCCTATATAATCCTTCTACAATTTCCCATATGGTTCTAGGGGATCTAATTTTAAGATCCTTTTGGGGGCCTGGGTGGGTGTTTCTGGGCTTAGCGGCTGGGAGCTGTTCTATTTGGCATCATAGACAGGATATGCAAACCTATCAAGATGAAATGCCTCAAGTACCCCCTCCCTACAAAGGGCCACCATTCAACCCCTTTGCAGGGACCCAAGGTGTCCGTGTCATTGTCCGTCATCTGATCAGTTGATGCTCCAATATTTTGGGACTAAACCCTTAAACCCTTCTCCCCAGATACTCAACCCTAAATCCTAAAGCCTAAACCCTAAACCCTAAACTGTATACCACCTGGATCCAGGAAGTGGAGGACTTGGACGCTAACCGCCTAGCGGAGGCCGTGGAGTCTGCAAAGAAGAAGCAGTGCCTGCCCAAGAATTCATTTGGTGGTTTAAGGGTTTAGGGTTTTACGGTTTAGGGTTTTAGGGGTTTGGGGGTTTAGGGGTTTAGGGTTTTAGGGTTTAGGGTTTAGGGCTTAGGGTTAAGGGTTCAGGGTTTAGGTTTTGGGGTTCAGCATCTCAAATCCAAGCATTCATTTCTTAAGCAGCATTCTCACACAATGGTCATATACCCACCCGCCCATTGGGTCCCACATCATTAAGAAACCTACATATACATTTTTATTTTAAATTACTTCAAATCCTGAACCCTAAACTGTAAGCCTTGAACCGTAAACTCTAAGCCTTGAACCCTAAACTCTAAGCCTTGAACCCTAAACCCTAAGCCCTGAACACCAAACTCTAAAGCCTTGAACCCTAGACTTCCGAGCCTAGGGCTCCAGCGTTGAACCCTAGGTTTCCAGCTTAGGGCTCCAGCCTCAGCCTTGAACCCTACGGCTTCAGGCTAGGGCCCTGAGGTTCCATCCATGACCTTGCCCATTAAGGACCTTGCCCGCGAAAATCATCAACATTTAAACTATATATGAAAGAGAGGCTTAGGGTTTTATAGGGTTTAGGGTTTAGGGTTTTAGGGTGTAGGGTTCCGGGTTTAGGGTTTAGGGTTTTAGGGTGTAGGGTTTAGGGTTCAGGGTTGGTTTCCCAAAATAGGGGTACCCCATTGTTAACAGTTTAGGAATTGATATAGGGCTTGGGGTTTAGTCCCATGACAAGGGCTAATCTAATGCAAAATGAAATATGAAATGGACACCTTGGGTTACTTTAAAGGGGTACGGTTAGAGGATATATAGGTTTTAGGGTTAAGCCCCGCGAGAATGGATAAGCACCTGGAAAGGAACATGGACAAAGAAACTGGAACTGGGATTCTGTAGGGGTGATGTAGGATTCTATTTGGAGATGCTATAGTCCCAATATGGCACGAGATGATCCTTTTGATTATAGTATTTCATAGGTGGAATATAACCCCCCTATGGGGTCTTCGAGGATTGGGGTAAAGGCGGTGATTGAGCGTTCCAGAGAGCTCCAGAGATTCTAGCTTTGGGGCCTGGGTCTTCTCACAGGAGGCCAGTACGCCTTAGGAATGCAATGCGACAGAGGCCAATGGGTTAGAGGATAGTCGCAGCAATACGAGCGAATATAATTGGCAGCTTTAAACTTTTGGATCTAGCAGTTGCGTGGTCGAAGCAGTAATGGTTATACAAGCAAAGCCCTCAGCAAGTTTTGCTCGAACAATGTCACAATAACAAAATTCTTGTCCAGCCAAATCATCCAATGTCCAGGACTCCCGTTCCACGTCTCACCCAAGTTTCTTTTTCTCTTTGCGACCTTGCTGGTCTCATCGTTGGTTTGTGTGCCAAGACAATGTAAATGGGCACCCTGCTACACCTGATTTCGAACATGCAAACCTTCCGGAACAGAAGCTAGGAGTAATGGCGTCGTTGACGAGATCTCATTAACATGCAGCTGGTGCATACCTAGCTCCAACCAGCACTGTTTCCAACAACTCGTGCATCACCTGGTCTTGGTACCCAGGAAGCTGGAAAGGAAAGAGGCGCGGGATGCCAAGCCCTCAGCGCATTCCCATTTGGAAGGGAGTTCAAGGTTTGGTAAAACGAAGCAAAACTGATGTCATTTCCCCCAGTTCAGGACGCGGTTCACGGGGTACAGCAGGTTCTTATTAGCCTCACTTCGGGAAGAAAAGCAGAGTTCTCAACAGTTCAGCAGGTGTTGAAATAGTAACAGTAGTAATAATAGTAATAATAACAGTCATAGTGTTAGTATTAATGGTAATAGTAAAAACCTATGCTCAGCCCATTGAGGTGTTAAGAGGATGCGTTGCCATTTTTTTCAATTAAGTTTCCTTAGATTCGCAATTCTTCTGACTTCGCTGCCGTTACAGTTGAAAAATGGCCCTAAAAATATTTGTGCGCAGCCTGTTGTCAATCTGGTCATATCTCCAGTGTAGGAGGCCGACAGCCCAAGGCTCCGCACAAGGGTCCCAAGCTTTTGTTTACCTCGCGATTTATCTGAGTAGCTCAGCAAAGAAGTAACAAAGACGTAGTGTTCACAAAGCAGAACTAGCTGGGCACCCTGCAGATTTGGATTCCAATAATCCCGACGCCAGCACAGCTAACGACTAAGCTTAATGGGGTTAGTAGGGATTAAGAGAATACAATGCCTATATCCCTAAATAATACATTCCCATATTCGCTACTAACCCCCAGTAAGCCCAAGTTGGGCTTTTGAATTTTGCCGACCCGGATCAAGCCGAGCCTGGGCAAAAGGAAAATTTGCAAGTGCCATTCCACCCAACAAAGGTGAATCACGTGGAAATGAATGTAGATGTGACTGAAACTACTATGCATAGGGATACATAGGGCCTGCGTGACATGGGTTCCGTTTCATGTCTATTTCCTTTTCCATTTGATTCTTCATTATTGGGATAGCGTCCCTATGTCTACTATGTACAGGGGTTTTCTATAGGCTTATATACAAGTACAGATTATGCTTGTAGCTCATTGGATGTAATCTGTTCATGTGTAATCTGCTTCAGCCTTACTGCATTTGGGAATTCAGAAAGGATCTGCTTCAGCCTTACTGCATTTGGGAATTCAGAAAGGTAGCAGACACAGAAGCGCACTTTACTAAGATGATATCCTGAAGCTCCACAACATTTCCCCATTCTTGAACGGATTGTTCTTGAACAGAACCCGGCACTGCAATCCAGGGCAAGAGAGGGCTGACCTTGGATGACGATCTGGCCTTAGAGTGAGAGGGCTAGAGACTAGGGTTTGCCGTCTAGGGCTTCGCCTTCAGGGTGGAGGGCGTCGAAGCATGAGAGTTGTGCATGCAAGCTGTGTAGAGTCTGGGCTATGTTTAAAACGACAGCATCTGACAACTGTCTTTGGCCTTCGGGTGTAGAAAGGCTTGAGGCGTAGGGATGTTGGATTGTGTAGGGTTGTTCAGACGGATTAGGTGATGAGTCTAGTGGAGCCAGCTCGCCAGCGTTCAGCATTGAGGATTCCATGCGGCCCCAGGTTGACAGAAGGGATGAGCCAGCCATAGCCGGTATTCACTCATTCAAATCTGATTGAGGTTGCTGATGGAGTATGACTATCACAGTACTTTAAACTGCTCAAGTGATCATGTGTTCCGGAAAATCTCCTCGAATTATGTGATTTTCTTTGGCTCTAAAGAAGGAATTGGGTTTAGCTTGGGGTTCCAGGCAGTATTTTTTGGCAAATTAGCGGAAAATTTGCGAAGCTTTTTGGCAGATTTGCTGCCAACATCGCTGCTCCATTCCAACGAGTCTGAAAAGTAGGCTGTCTTCAAACACACACACACACACAACTTGATTCCCAGACGTGGATGGCGGGACTTGTTTTTCCATTTCCCTTTCAATCATGCAGAAGTCGTAACAGAGGCATCAGAGGCTAACCTGTAAACCCGTAGCCGAAAACTTTCAGCACATCCCCGCAACGCTGGCTCCTGCGCTCCAACAGTTGAATACCCCCTCCCTATACGGCCTTTCACTGGTGAGTTCGGAGGCCATAAACTGCCATAAACCCTTGAGCATCACTCAGGAGAGGAATCGCCAGTACAATGCTGCCACTGGTGAAGGCCTTACCGGCGAGATCAGCCCGGAGGAATACGAGGCGGTGATTCAGTGGCCACTTCAATCTGCCTCTGATAACAAGATCTTCCATGCACCGATCAGGCAGCATGCTATACGCCACCCGAGATCTGTGATAACACTGCATTCGGCTCGTGATTGACCCTTTTGCTGAGATGGTCTGGGAGAACTGCCCGTTTGGAGGGGCAATGAACGCTGGGGGGAAAGTGCTTGGGGGGAGTGCTTCAGCATTTCGCTTGCCATGCGTTTGCTCTTCTTGATCTATTTCTCGTGTCTTCACTCAAAGTTATGTTCGGAGCCCTAGCCCTCTATCTTGTACGACCCTTCCTGTCACTTGAGGACCTCCAAGCCTGAAGCTTTCACGCAACCTGAGATCGAAGCCCAGAATTAGGCAGCACAAGCAGTTCCACGCCAGACAGGCCTACCGTCTCACGAGACAGCGTGCCGACGATCCCATGGCGCAGTTCATGTGAGCAGCGACCTCGATCGACTCCGCACCTGAAGCCCCGCAAAAGATTCCAACACATCCTGCACGGACCTACACCCACTGCCTGCCCAACGCCCTGAGCCCGAACCCCTGACTTTAGCGCCTTCGAACCCAACATCCTTTCGATGCAATACCGTCCAGCTGCGTGCTAGAGTTATAGGTCTTCGAGTAGGATAAAATTTTCGGGTCTGGGGCTCCTGTTAACGAAGAGACTCTGCACCCCAGCTGCTCCAAAAAGGCAGCGAGCACAGTTCACCGCTGACACGTTGAGTAAGGGTGGCCTCTGGGGCAAAATGAGGCGCGTGCAAGCCTGCATGTTACAGACGTGACTCGCTGTCCAAGTCAGCATTAGGTACAGGTGGGCTTTCACCTTGTTTTTGCGATGGGCTGCGTGCAGAAAGGATGAGGAGAGAATCCAGTGAAGTGCAGTAGCCCGTCCATACTGGCTTCTTGCTCGCTGAAGAGCAGACTGCCGCTGCTGACTCAAGGGCCTAGGCCCTAGGCCCCAAAGAGCAGGTCATCTATATGTCAGCGCCCAGCAATGATTGGATCTCTCCTCCTGCTTTGCTTTTGCCACGGCGCGGCCTTACATAACCACAGCGCACCTGGGCTCAGCCAGGATGTGCTTGCGTTCATGTGTTGATGATGCAGAGTCTGGTTGTGACTATCTTGAACCTGAACCCTGAAATCCAAGCCCAAGGAGAGGGTCAGCGTGTCCTTGAGCCACGACGGTACAGTGGGCCGCCTGCAGCCTGCTGTGCCATTAGTTTCAGGTCTTGCGCCGGCTGCAGCGAACCTCTCCAGGCGGAACAGGGTTTCATTGTTTTAAGGCCTTCAGGCCTGGTAGCAGTCCCGAAAGAGCGCGCAAGTAGATACATCTCTGGGAGCCACTGTGCTTCCCGCAGAAACCTGTAATATTGAAGCCTAAACCCTAAACCCTAAAGCCTAAACCCGAAAGCCTAAAGCCTCTTGCGCAGCATTTCGGCTTGACCTTCTGGAGTCATTATGTCATGCAGACGTAAAAGGCCGTTGTAAA